TTGAACATCTGTAGGATTCTTTTCCTTATGGTTTTAGCTAATGAAAGGCCATAATAATAGTGAGATATAAAAAATAGCTACAAAAATAACTTACCAAAATCTATTTGGGACAACTTCGGGAAAGAAAATGTGCATCAACATGTCATATGAGCTCACCATCGTTTGTTCTAACTGCCAAGTAAAGCTGTTTTGTTCTTTACTACACTTCTAAGCAGTTTTATACGTAATTCATTGTTGTTGTTTTTTTTCTGACAGAATCTTCAATTCCCTTAATGTTTCTCAATTCCCTCAATGTCCTTTTTCTCAGTCTCTTTCAAATACAGTGTTTTCTCTCTATATTTTTAACTGCTAATTTATCTTCTTTTGTATTTTTTTTGCAACCGAGTATTTTTTAAAATGTAAGAATAAAACTGGTAATGATTGTAAAGCTGACATAGACATAAAGTAGAGCTGTATAACAAAACCCATAAAAATTGCTTCAACTTCAAATTCATTATATTTATGAGACTTAGTATTCTCCAGTTCTAAGTTTAAATTTTGTTTGTAGTTTTCCTGCTGCAGAGAGCTACTGCAACATTCTTTAAAATTCTTTGGAACCTTTTTTTTTAAAGTAGTCTTTTAAAATACTACTTTTGTTCCAATCAAGAGCAATAGTTCTAGGGTACAGAACATCTGAAGGAAACACATTTGCAAAAAGCAAGAGGGTGGAACTGAACTTGGAAATGACAGCAGAGCAGGAATGATCATGCATATTAAGTAAAAATATTTCATTTCTCTTGGTTCATGTGTTTTGATGTAAACAACCATTTTACCTTGCCTTTGGAACACAGAAGTATTATATGAGTTAAACAATCTGAATTTTAGAGAACAGCCTCAGAATAATAATTAAATGTAAACCCACCTATCACTAATTATAATGTCAACTGCTTTTTATATTTTAAAAATAATATGCCAGTTCTGAAAAGCTGGGAACCAGTGGACAGTCATAGCTAAAAGGCTTACATGTGACATACAACTTTTGTTACCCTGCCTCCTTCTTTACTTTCTTTTGGACCTTATTTGTTTTTGGCAGTAAACATGAAAGGAAACAACAACACATTATGCAAGATCAGTTATGCTGAACTATTCTGTAATTTAACTTTGAGAAACAATCTCTCAATGAATGATCACAACAGAAAACAAACTTACATGGACAAACATTATCTGCTTAATAAACAGCTATGGCTGTGCACTGGAAATATGGCTTTGGTTTAAGGAGTTCATAACCTGTAGCCAAGTGGTAGAGATGGAAATTTTCATGGTTTAGAAATAATTTTATGCCTGCCCATCAATTTTTCTGTTATCTAGGCATGAATAATGAAACAGATTTTTGGAGAAATGGCTGCAAAGTGATCACTTCAAATTAATTTAGTTCTTAGCAATCATTTGGTTCTTTCTGTATTTAAAGCCAGGGAAGATTAATTATGTTCTTAAAAGGCCATTTAATGCTAATGATGCTCCAAGTATTAAGAAACTTCTAAGTCCATCACATTCAAGCTTTCTTTTCAGCATTCATCAGTTTGAAAAAATAAACCTGTATGTTGCTGTCATAGATCACTAATTTGCTTTAATTAATATCACTTTAATGAATATTACACTGAAAACAACATTGCAATGGTTGCAGGTCATGAAGTCCACTTTTAGTAATATGTCTCCTTTTAACACTCAACAGTTACCACAACCCAAAACATTAGATCAGAGGAAACACTGTTAAAACCAAACACTTCAGAATCAGATACTCAAATCCAAATTTGTCCATAAAATCTCTATAGATCTAGCACGGGTCTGTGGGCAGCATATCCCTCCTTCATTTCCTGTGCATGTATGTATGATATCTACTCATTTGGCCTATGCAGGTAGAAATAAATAAACCCGAATAATGGATTTGTAATTTTTTTAAATGTAACAAAGTCTTTTTTTCTCCTTGTCCAATGACTGATTTTCGGTTCTGCAGAGAAGAAAATTATCCCAGGACAAATCAATATTCTCTTTAAAAGAGAGATCCTTGTCCATGTTGCTGTACTTCCTTAGGTTTTGGGGTTGGTTGGTTGTTTTTTATAAGAAATTCTTGTTTCATTTTCTCTTTTTTGGAAATGCCCCTAATCAATTTTATGCCATTCACTTGAGTTTCTGATTAACAGGCATATCTGGAAATTTCTGGCACTTCTGGATATACAGTAACATATTTCTACCTCAGTGGTACCAAAGAGATTAACCGTGAAATCCTCATTCTTGCCAGTAATAGCATTCAGCACTGGGTACTAATGATGCAAACAGAAAGAGCCAACTGACTTATCATATGGTCACTATACAGAGCTGGAATGAAGTATATAATAAATACTCGATTGCTAATTTTTATAAATTCACAGTCATTCATTCATTGATTACATTAAATGGAGAAATACTTAGGTGATTTTTGTTTGGGGTGTTTTTACCAGTATTTTGCCTTTCTCTCTCTCTCTCTTGCATTTCTTTTTTTTTTTTTTAAGCCTCTGGGAGAAAATATATTGCTCTAATAAGTAGTCACTTAATAATTTACCACATCCTTCAAAATCTGATTTAGTGAGTTTATGCTTTCTGGAAAAAGTTAATCAATTACACTTAATTAGCTATCAGTCTACATTTAAAGTTAGCTGCCATAAACACCATTTATATATATAACCAAAGACTTGACAAACAAATATCAGTGTGAAAAAACTTAATGAAGAAATTTTATCCCCATTAATACTTGAATATTTACAGGATAGCTAAACTGGTGTTTAATACAGCTATTCAAAACATATAGTGTAATCTAACTTCTCAGACTTTTAGTACAAAACAGTTATTTTGAATAAATACACATCTCTAAGTAAACTTTAAAACAATCATAATCTTTCAGCTCATAATCTTTGAAAATACCTATTATTAGATGAAAGAACCTTCCACTTAAAAATAATATGTAGTTCAGTGCTTACCCTTAATTTATTAATATAAAAGTTTAATTAAATTCAATAAAATTATTTGGTACAAAGAGGTAAAGGAAATAATTCCATAGTCAGATCAGGTTAACTTCTTTTGGTTTAACTTAACCTGCTCAGAGGCTCAGATCTCTGCTGAAAAATACACATCAACCCAGATGATATGCTAATGGCTGGACTTGTGCTTAGAAAAACATAGAGAAGCAGCTCTTGAACGCTGCCATTACTGACAGCTCTCCCCCTAAGGAGGCACTTGTACGCCTCTGTAAATACCCTGCAAGGACTTACTAGTAAATGTAAACAGGCTAAGGATGACAAGAAGCAAAGAGATGCTGTGGCACCTTGTCCATGTACAGTCTCTGACTCACTGCATCCATGTGCTTGATGATCCTTTTGCAGACTCATTTGTTTCCTAGTAATTTTGTGTTGATGGTACATGCACTAGGACTCTGCTTTTTTAGAGTCCATGAAAAGGTCATTTAAGTGCATCCACATGTTATTGCCTCAGAGAACACATAACTTCATAATGGAAGAGGTTTTATCCTATTTTCTCTTGTGTTTGAGCTAATTTTCTGGTACCACTGCTGTTAAGCACGACTTAAACATGAGTCAAGTGCCTGACACACCATATATTCTTGCTGCTTTTCCCAAGAGCCTGTTCTACCCTTCATCAAGAAAACGCCTTTTTTGAGTGTCAGCTGCTCACAGTATCTTTCCTGCACTACTATAGATAAAGGACACCATAATGAAATGTAACAGTCTGTGACAGCTGACATGAAAGCCAAAATGAGCAGTAGAGACAGAAAACTTTTTTTCTCCCCAGTTTGCCTTTGCAAGAGAAGGGAAGTGATTATACCAAGGCATAGAAGGCTCTCTCTGCTCAGAGACCACTGCTGAGAGATGTTCTCAGAGGCTGACTGGACTCCCTCCTGAGCATTCAACTCCACTCAGCAGAAGGTGATGGCATCAAAGTAATACAATTTTGCCACCTTGCCCCTTCCTCTCTTTATGCATCATCATTTTCCACACTCAGGGAAGCAGAAAGACAGCAATTATCTTTTCCTTATTTTTTTTTTCCCCACAGCATTTGTGTTTGCTCAAAGCAAAAAGAAAATATTAATTCTCTTCTGGAAAACTTGCACAAGTAAAGGTAGCCTGTCTAGGTAAATATATTAGCTTCAAAAATGGAATCAAATGTCTTTCCTGATTTCCAGATGCAATCAGTTACAATATCTAAATCATGTTAGGACTTGCTACCCTTCTTTTCTTAAGTTTTCAGAAAGGCACTATTGAATAGGTGAACTCTATGTAGACACATGCCCAAGGGTGAGAACAGGACAGATATACATGTATCTGCCATAAAAAAACATAGCAGAGCTAATTAATACCTGTGTTGTCTTTAAAACATTATCATTTAAAACATCACCTTAAATGAACACCAATCAATCAATCCCCTTGCACTTCTGAAGTCATTTGTATATATGTAGCAATCTGCTGCAGAACAGTCTAGAATGGTACTTACCCCTTTTGCATCATTAATAGTTCATACTCTTGTCTTGTACTAATTAGCCAAATATAAGTTTGGTTGCCTTTTCTTTAATGCCTACATTTTTTGTAGGTTAAAATCTGCTTTACTTACCACCAAAGATTTATTGAGAAGGCACATGTTTGCAGAGTGGTTTCACAGGAGACAGTATCCTTCATGGTTTTCCTTTCATTAGAATATGAAGATTTATCATGCTCTGTCCCACCATAATAAGGAAATACATCCCTTATGGGTTTATAAGTTTATGAAACTTTTTAAGTTTATAAGTCACATTCTTGCTTAAAATGATTGTAAAGTATCACTCTGGCATTCAGACATTTTAAAAAAATCAACAAACGTTATCAAACATGTCTGATGTGACAAGACAAAATACCTTGGTTTGCTCTCTTGTGTGCTGAGACCACTTTCCATGGGTGACCAAATATCAGATGTATCTTGATGTGAAGGTCTTGTACTTTGGAGGGGTGGCTCTCTGTGCCAGGCTCTGCAATCTAAGTCTTTGTGGGTATCTGTAGAGAAGGAAAAAGCTGATAGAAATCTTTCAGCCCATTTTACTTCTCAAAAGAGGAAGTACACATTAAATTAATTAACTTAATTCGTTAAATTTACAGTAATAGGGAATTAATGAAGTCAATTACAAACATTATAATGATTAAATCACTTATGACGAGAACAGCAGAAATAGAGTTCCAATATGATAATTTTGCTCTATAAATTATCCTTTTAGCTGTAGTGAGAGGAAGGGGTTCATGACCTGACCTTGATTGTGGGGCATTTTCTTCCACAATGATGAGAAAAATTTGGGCACCCATGTCTTTTCTCCTTTTTTAATTCTTTTGTCTTTTAAAGTTTTGTTACGAATTAGAAACTATGCTTTGATTTATTTCCTCTCACACTGTTTACTAACACCAGGTTAGCTGCCAAAAATTTGTGTCATATATTTTGCTCAAAGTGAGTGCAACACTGTTGTGAAACAAGGAGAAGATAGAGATAATACTTTGGAAAACAACAGGATCTTTTGGTTTTCCTACTGCATAAGTTAATCACAACTTTCAGGTTATATGTAAGGTTATGTAAGTATATGTTTAGGTTGTAAGTATATACATATGTAATATATACTTATAGTATGTGAATTACTACACTAACTAAAGTGGTCTGTACTTAGAATTCTATACTTTGGCACATGAGTTTTCCCAATCACTTTGTTGTGACTTTTCAGGACCTTGGTTTATGCTGATCAAAACTGTATCAGAACAATTAATGTTGTCATTTGCTAATCCCTTGGTGTATCAGTGACTTAGTATGGTGACTAATGCAGAAACAGGGATTCATCTCATCATTGTTCCTTTATTATTGTTACCTCATTTGCTAATTAATGTATATGAAAAATGTGACAATGAGCTGAATTTCAGCCAAGCCTCAGAGGTGAATACCTGCATGGTATGTTCCAAAATTATTCATGAGGTAAAAATTCTGTTGACTTTCAGAGGGCTACTTGTCCCAAGACACATAAATGATTTTCAGAATTATAGCTATTGCAAATTACAATTCACTTCACTAAAGTTTTCTTTAATTTCTTATACTCTTTATGTAAGGTGTAATTGAATGTTAAGGAGCATGCCATACGTCTGTAATGCATTTAAGAAAATGAATTTAAGAAAAAAATAAGATATGCCCTGTAAATTTTCTTCTGTCTCTTGCAAGAAAGGCCTCATAAAATTGAAATTATTGTATTTTATAACAAACCCTGATTATCTTTAAAAAACCTTGAGTTTTAGACACATTAAAAATGTTTGCAATCCAGCTGTAGTATTTATCTAAATAGGATTTTATTATTGTGACTTTGCTCGCAGAATTTTAAATATACTAGATCCTCATTCTACTTAGCAGCCTTTTAATGGAGCTTAGTATAAATGGCAATGGTGAAATGACAATTTTGTTGCTACCACATCAGGTGATATATCTAGAAAGAAGCACTCATGGTGAGCTAATGATGTGAAAACATTTCCCTGTTACTACACACAAGTGCTTCAAGTCCAAATGAAGTCATATTGTTAAAGCAGCAGAATCTGGCATTCTCAAATAGACATCTCAGGAACTGTCAGAAGTAACTGCAGCCTTCTACCTTCCCAGTGTAACTTTGTCAAAATAAAGAGGCTGTACTGACTCCAACAGGCAAGGACAGACCCTCAGCTGCTCAAAGCAGAGCTGAGAGCCATTCAACAGAGTAAGCCATCGAAATGGAATGTCCGAGTTAAACTCCAGGTACAGGGTAAACGTGGCTTTCTCAGTAATGGAGACATAATGCTTTAGGATTCCTCCCTCCATGTAGAAAACTACAGTGTAAGAGTGACCTCTACAGGATTTCCACAGTGCTCCAAGACTGCAGTCCCAGGGACTGTCTTTAGAACACTTTCAAATGTATTTATTTGAAAATAGAAGACAAACTGCAACATACAAACCAACACTGCCTCCAAGTATCAGCCTGAAATCGGCAACAATCTGAATTTACAGCTTGTAAACACAGATTTGTGGTAGTTTTCTAGATATGAAAACTATATAAGGACTTACTTAAAATATTCAGCTGATTCAAAGGAGGTTTCAAGAATCATTGGGTTTCATTTGGAAGGGGCTTTAAAGATCATCTAGTCCCAACCTCACTTCCATGGACAAGAAAAACTACCACAGGTTGTCCAAAGTCCCATCCAACCTTGCTTTGAATACTTCCAGGCATCTACAACTTCTCTGGGTGACCTGTGCCATAAAAGTACCATTTGTACCATTTTTTTTTCCTTTTTTAATGGACATTCCACTGTTAGTGGACAAACTGTTGTCCTTCTCTGTCATCTTCTTTATAAACTGCCTCTTCTTTGTGTTTCAGAAACTTAGAGTGAAATATAGAATGGTTGGAATGCTGGAGAGAGATCTTAATCTGTAACTCACCAAATGGTAATGCAAAGTAGACATCTAGTAAGATCTCGTGTGAAGTTGGTGTTTTTGTGCCTTCAATCTCACTTCCATTTTTTATTACTTCAGAATTCAATGTCCACCAGGAACCTGGGCCTTCCTAGGAAAAAGAAGTTATGAAAATTACCTGGACAGGATTTATTGGATTATCTACTTTTTACTGGATGAGGTTTCCCCTGAGTCAATAGGAGTTTCTTTGTAACAACAATATGTTTAGATATCCATTCTAGACTCTTCCAACTTTTGTTTTTGTGAGTATTACTTAGGACTTCATCAAGTTTTCTCACAGTCATTGAATTCAAAATAATATAACATTTGCTCCACAATAGAGATGAATGCACATTTAGGTTGTCAGATGATTAAGACACAAGAAATATGAATATTGAAAATTACACTTATCAACTCAGATTTTCCAGTTTCCCTTTGAACTGGTGCCAAACAAGTACATTGTAGAAAGACTGAAACAATCCATATAAACTAATAACAAAGCCAAAAAACCTTGTTTCTGAAGTAATGCTCCCTTATAGTTTATTTGTGAGCTATAAAGCCCAGAACAGAACTGTGGGGTTAAGACAAGCAGCATTTCTAGGAAATTTCCGCAGTGGATTAATTATAAATGAAGGTTTAGAGGATCTGAAGAAATTAAGAACAAGTCCCTTATCTTTCATCTGTGTTTGTTTAAAGTTTCAATATTTACTAGTAAGCCACAACCTCTGTGCCAGCAAGTTGTAACTCAACAACAGCCAGGGCAGCAGAGCAGAACCACTTGCCTTGGGGCTGGAAATGGCACTTGGCAGCTGTGATACAGAGCAACTTCTAATTTAAGCAGGAACTACTTTCTTCCTCTGCTTCCATTTTCTGAGTAGAATCACTGAAATATCAGTTCAATGTATATATGAATATTTATTAGTTCCTGTAAAGAAATTGCTATAGGGTCTGATGAGAGATACTGTAGGAAGTTGTTTTCTGATTTTCTCTCCTTTACCTCATCTTCAATTGCCTTTTTATGTTTTAGAAAAATTAAAGAAGGTAAAAATTTTTTCAAAGATTAAATTAATCTTCTGTCATTCAGAGCTACTTTAAAAACAGACTCCATGGACTATGTGTAGCAGAGCATATTCATGGATGGGAGAATTGTGGAATATTAGAATGAGGTAACTCTTATGTTTTCTGAATTCAGAAAATTTTGCAGCACAGGCAGTTTGCTTCTGTATTTCCACGATCCCAGAAACCTTTTCTCCTTATTTGATATCCTACTGAGGGCAAGTATGCTCACTCTGGCAGCCAACTTACTATGCTGGATACACAACTCTTGGTATTGACCCAATTTCTCCACTCATCCTTCTCTGTGCACTCTAGAATTTCTTCTGTAGTTCCACAAGGCAAATTTCAGCTTTTCTCTCTGAGCCAGTGGCCAATTCCCTTGAGAGAGAGAACAACAGTATTTTGCCCACTTTAGTAGAGATTTACCCAAAGTCACACAATGAAGAGCCAGGCCTGGAAAGTTAATCTAAAACTCTTTCACTTTAATCATATAAGCCAAACCACCCCTGCCTCCCTAACAGTTCATGAGAGCAGATGAACTAATCCACTGCCTGTAGAATACCTGGTTCAGTATCTGAGCCATTTCTCCAGGATATATGGATAATGCATTTCAGTTTTCACTTTAAGAGTCACAGGTACATTATACCTCACCATTGCAGATTGGAGCAAAGGAGATAGAAGTATACACTGACCATAAATGTCCTTACAGTATTTGGGGAGATTAAGAATGAGAAATTTGTTGGATTTTACTCAGTGTTTTATAATTCCACAGAAAGTCAACTTACATCTGTTGCATATTCCACAGTTGCAAGGGGAATCCATAAAACTCCCAAAATGCTATCCCAGAGCAAGCCTTTCTTCCACAGCTCTACAAGGAAGCCCTTTCCATCAGCACAGATTTCACTAAAAAGAATGAATATAGAAACCATTAAACTGAATCTGAAAACGCAGTTTCAACTGCTCAATAATCTATAATAATAAGTTAGTGACTTACAGGAGATACAGAGGTGGGTTTTTTCCTATATAGTCATAAAATAGTAGGCAGTGGTGTCTCTGCTGTGACTGATTGCACATCATCTTCATTTGTCTGAATTAATTTTTATTAAAATAATCTTCAAGTTACTGTGTGGTGAACCACAGAGAATTACTGTGTACTTAAAGTTATCAGGAAAAGAACAAATGAAATCTGAGAAGGGCAAGGGCTGCCACCTCTGAGACAACTTTTTAACTCATCACATGGCTCTCATAAATCATTATGTTGGCTGCATCAATGTCTGCTTTCCTGCTGTATTCATGCAGTTGAATAGATTCATTGAATTTTTGTTTTGCTCAGCTTCTCTCTTTATAAATACGTTATGGAAGACAGATTGTAAATTTTTAGACCCCAACTTTAAAACTGTTGCACCAGCAACAATGAAAGTGCAGACTGAAAGGTTAAAAAATATGCAGTTTTTAAAATGCAAGCTGGTAATATCTGTGTGTAAAAGTGAGAGATGGAGTGACAGCCCTTAAGAAAATGAACTACAGTATGACTCACCAAAGTCTACTTAAATGTATTTGTAAATGCCTACTTTTAATCCCTTTTAAAAGTCTGCTGTGTTGTATAGATGAGCAGGCAGTAGATGGAGCTACAGCAACCTTGTAACATGCTAGAAAAGTGCTTTAGCATTCTTTGGCAAGATTTACATTGCCAACTGAGAAAATAATCCTAATAAATTGCTCATTTTCAATGATATCATGCAACACTCATTTACATATAATATGATAAAAAGAAAATCTTTTAAACAACAGCAAAGCAAATGTATTAACTAATATTTTGACACATTCTTCAGGTAACCAGAAAATACGAAAAAGTTATTCAAAACAACTCATGTGTCTGACAAAATATTAAAATACTTGGATTAGAAAATACCCAAAATTGTCATAATGACATTTTTTCATAAGAACTACAGCAAATTAAATGTTGAATTCTGCAAAAATATTTCAACCAACTCTAGACCTCAGGAATTAAATTTATGTTCCCTCAACAGGAATGTGGTGACAGAGAAAGATTTGTGCAGGGAAAAAGAAGGGACCAAAAATGGTGGAGATTAATGTGCTAAATCAGGATCTAATTAGATTATATCTATTGGGTTTAACTGCTTTGGAATTGACAGTTGTAAGCAGATTTCCTCAGAATGTCAGGTAGTATATAAATGCTTGGACCTCCTGACCAGTGAGGTGTGTAGAAGGCTCTAGAGAAAAGAGGACAATAACAACAGAGTAACAAGATGGAGAGCTGAGTGAAGCAGACAAAGATCTGCAGACAGAAGTGAGAAAGAGCAGGGGTCAGTATTAAAGTAACTACCTAAATTGGCAGCTGAGGAGATAAATTAATGCATAAAATATGAGTCACACCAAAAGGAAATTGAGTGAACAAAAATCAAGTTGCTTGAGGATCAATTTGAGTTCTCTTTATTCTCATTCCTGTATTTCTACAACATTATATGAAATTAAATTTGGAGACAAATTCTTCCCCTTGTTGGTCCTGGCCTTGATCTGCAATGTACCTTGCAAAATTAACTTTACTTTTGTTCCCCAGGGCTAGTCTGCACCTTTTCTCTGAGCTGGATACTTTTTCCTTGCTTCTGTGGTCTGTACATGGCCTTGCATGTACTAAACTGTTCTAAACTATACAAATAAAACAAAGATACAACAAAATCAATTCATAAGAATTCCCTGTTCCTTACAACATGAAGTCTTGTTCCCAGCAAGGGTCACTTCCTCGTCTGTCGATTGTTGTGCTTTTCAGATTTTGGACTTTCAAAACAACATAGGTTTTAGATGCATCTGAAAAAGAAATAACCAGCACATTAAACCTCACTTTAGTTCTTTCCAGAAACTGGAAACATATAACCCCAAGGCAGTTTTAATTTTTACTCCATACAAAACATTTAGAGGTGTGGTTCAAATATGTGGATTTGAACAAGAAAATTCTTATTAATTCTAATGGGATTATTCCAGAAAAATCTCTGCCCCTGACAGGTGAGAGAGAACATCTCACTGAATGTATTTTAAAGATCAGCTTCCAGACAGGGCTTTTTACTGCTTATCAATCTCCCTGACAGCTCTTGCATGAAACCAGCATGCAACTCTTTTTCTGAAAATTAGGACTTTCTTTGCCTTTCCATTGCTATGATAATATTGATGATTGACTAACGGGTTTTTATGTCCAATTAAGGCAAGGCCACAGTCTTGTAATATGTAATTCAGTCTTGGTGCATGAATCTAGTTCTGTTATAGATGCAGCAGCAAAATGGGTTTCAGATGCAGCCCCAAATGAACTCATATTTCTGTAAATGCCTTTGTAAAAGCACAGTATGAGTATTCATAAATTGGACCCAATCAGCAAAAAGAATACAATTTTAAAAATTTCAAAGGACTTGAAAATATCACTGCCAGAAAAAAGCGAAAGAACTGAGGGAAAGCTCTATTCTGTAGGGCCTCATACAGGAATCTAAGGTGGTAAAAGGTATATTATATCATCTCAATGAATGTGGCTTTTTAGCTTGCATGCAGGTAACACATCCTTCACTACCCTCCAGCATCCTAGATAAGGATCAACATTGACATAGGACTGAAGAAAACCTTTTTTTTTTTTTAATAGAACTACTGCCAAAATATATATACAAGAGGTAGCTCAGAACAGAATTTTTGAGCAGTGTGTTTTACCACAGGTCAGTCAAACAGTCTGAGTTACAGGGAAGGTGTCAATGTCTACACCAGATTACTGAATAGGTTGTATCAAATTACACTGCAGTTAACAAAAAGTGTGAAGGAGAAGAGTTAGCTGTGTACATCCTGTATGTAGATCTTATTGATTAGAACTGATTATAATGTTTGGCCAAAGGACAAAAGATATCACGTAACAGGAACTATTCTGTTCAATAAACACATTCAACAGTGGCCAATGTTATCTATTTATTTTCTATAACTCAGTGCACCAGTCCTCTCAATCAGGACTTTGTTTTTTAGCTGCAACTCAAGGTTTGAGAAATTTTCAAAAGAATTCTAAATTGCTTGGCTGAAAAATAGCAACCCACAGTCTTTAACTTCAGCCATTTAGAGCACCCATGTAAATTAAAACTACAATAACCAACCTCCCTCATAATTAAAACATATGTCCCTTAAATAAAGCCATAAATGACAAGATAGAAACTTAAAGACACATTTTAGTGGTAGTCTGTTTCATTATACTATTATCTTTATATTCAACTGTAATTTCACGGACCAGACGAGGTGACCAAACCTAATCACCTTGTATCTTTCCCCACCTCCTTTTCTATCACAAAAAATAAAAATATTTTGGACTGCTTGCATTATTGTCTTGCCTGAAACCCTGCCATTTGTTTTTTAAAAGAGCTATTTTTCCAGTAGTTCCTTGTCTTCTTTGGCTCTTCTCTGGATTTAAATATTACCCTTCAGTGCTTTAGGACTAATTCACCTTTAGATGTCATGAGTTGTGTCAAGTAAGAAAAAGATACTCTACCTTGTAAATAACTGTGAGTATATAACCTCCTTGAGGAATAACACTGCCCAGGGTGAATATTATTAAAATACCCTGGCAGCAGAAAGGAGCTGTCAATTTTGCAGTTTTGTTTCCATGAAGCCATTATTGTGGCTCCCAAACCTTTCAGCTGTCAAAAACCAGAGGCATGTAGTGCAATTTTTTGTCAAACAGCAGGTTATCCACTTGCTCAAACCTCCAGCTTTCAACCCAGAGCACAGCACAGCAACTTCATAGCAGTTTACACAAAGGAGTAAATAAACTACAGGATAATCACAGAATTTTGAGAAACATGAGGGCATTTCAATGCTGCTCTTGGTCACCACCTGCATAATGGTTCTGCCCAAGAAAACATGACTAATTATCAGAGAATATGCCATTCAAATTTTATTGCTATTATTTATGGTGTTAACAAGTCTTCAACAGCATTCAAAAGAAACTTGAAACTACATCTCTTTTATCAAATTATTCTGTTTGATAGTCATATTCTGTACTTTATCACCTCTTTTGAGCATCAACAAAATATGAGATTTGCTGAACCCTGCAGAACATTTTTCTGGCTGCATTAGGGTTTCAATGAGAAAGAGAAGATTCTTCAGTCCATACTTTGTACAAAGATTTCACAGCCTGCTTTTAGAAGTGTCAAGAACAAACAGCTTGATCTGTGCCCATTCAGGTTACCTTTCTTTAATTCAAATAACTTTAAACAACTTGTATTTGCTTAAATGTATTAACCAGCCAATTTTGCTGCACTGATTTGGTTGTATATCAGCTTCTCCTGAGAACTAGTAATTACAAAGGTCTTGAAGGCCTTAAATTTATAGTCCACCTCTGTGGGAGAAACCTCTGGCTGAGTCTGGACTTTCTTTTCCATCCTGGCTAAATCTTGGTCCTGGAAACAGACTTAGAGAGTTCTGGGCAGCTTGGTTTTGCTCATATTTATTGGCTGGGGCACACACCTGATCTCTGTAACTGTCCATCAGTATCTCCAACCTGTATTTCCTCTCTGGGAAAATTCAGACACAATCTCCAATTGTCTGAGGCCACCACCTTGTAAAGATAATTTGATCTCTAAAACATATGTATAATCTTTAATTCTTTCCACGTTTATTCATTTTTATTGAACTGTTGATCAAATATATTAAAGTAGTCCCAAGCTTAGGTGATTCTTTAGTGTGACACAGACAAGCATGCCTAAGAAAGAAAAATGTAAAGTAGAAATTGAAAGGGAAATTAAACTTACCAGTCATTTTATCCAGCCTTCCTTTTTTCACTGTATTAAAAAAGAAAATATATATTATTTTCAGATAATACCTTAACAATGCTTGCCAATGGATTTTATGAAAAATAAA